AATATCCCAAATCTTAGCCCAATTCCTCCCCCAACCCAAGAAAAGTAAGGGGCTAAAATTTGGGAAAACGCAAACTTGATGCCAAATACCAGTGCAGCTATTGTCTGGAATGGAAATTTTTTTGGTGGAGCCCACTCGCAGCCTATGTGCAATGAGGACAAATGGGGCATGTCGCTACTGTGCTCCAAAATATCTCTCGCCATGTGTCAGCTACTGGTGATGTTATCGTTGGACAATTCAAATATCTCCTTCTTCTTTTTTTCTTCAACAATAACCCAAATTAACAATCCATATTAAAGCGAAGCTATTTTAACGTTAAAAAGAAAGATCCAATTATTGAAATTTAAATCTAACAGTCAAAATAATATTTTTAATTAATCTAAATCAGATCCAACCCCAAATCTCACTCTAAACTCTATAAATACCCACCCATTTCTTAAACAATTTAATTTGTGGAATTTCAATTATTTAAGGTCAAATTGTTCAAAAAAAAGTTAAATTATAAAGTTATTTGAAAAGATTAAATCAAGAAAAGTTATCCATTTAAAAAAATTAGACTTAAACCATTCTTAAATAATTTAATAAAGTTGCGGATTTAAAATTTAAGTCTGAAGGGTTAGGAAAAAAACCGGCTTGAGTCCGGGCAAAACCCAAATAATTACTTTTTAGAAGGGGAAAATTTGGGTTTATGACCAAATGGGTAGGAAAAGGTCTTATGTAAGACACTTAGGGCTCGTTTGGTACGTCAGACTTGCCGGATAGTATTAATTTGTTTTGGAGAGTGCTAACTATTTATCCATAATATTATAAAGAGTTTGGTGTTGTTCCACATAAATAGTCAGACTAAATTATACTGTGTTTGGTGCTTCGTCGGATAACATTGGATCAAACTATTTTTTTATAAAAATTCTTTGATAATTTAAGCGGAAATTGAAATTCAAATGACAAAATTTTTTTTGATAAGATTCATATGACAAAATTGTTTTTCATTTGTTTTTGCCAAATCATTGACAAATCATTTTCGCCATTAGATACATCGAATGACTGCCTAATACTAAAACAAGAAACCTCTCTCCCAATTCTCTCTTCCCTCTATCTGCTTCCTTCATTGTCTTCTTTGCCGGCCCACCATATCATTGATGCAAAACCCCCCAAGTTAAATTTGGAATATGGGATTTTGACCAAAAAATTAATATATAAAAAATCTGGAATCTGTCTGAGCTTTGAATCGAGAACCAATTATACTAACCCACCAATAAAAAAATTAAAATAGGATTGAAAACCAAACTTGTTTGGCTGAGCTTTGAATCGAAACAACATAAATGGGCAAGAACGAGTTTCAACACTAAGCAAAGCTGCAAACTTGGGTGTTTGAAATTCAAACAAAAAAACCACCAAAGAGCCTCTAAAGAAGATAGCAGAGAAGAAGATGAGGAGTGAAGAGGAGAAGCATATTTGGGGGGGGGGGGAGAGAGAGAGAGAGAGAGAAAGAGAGAGAGAGATGGATATTTGGAGAAGAGTGAAGAGAATAACCACTGGAAAAGATAGTAGAGAAGAATCGGGGAGAAGAAGATGAAAATATAGCGTTTGATTTTTCACGTGTGTTCTTTTTTTCCTAGTCTTATAATTAAGCGTGTATTATGTAAACTAGGGAGTGTAGGTTGTATTAGTTAGTCAAGTAAGGAGAGTATTAAAAGCCCAAACTGTTTAAAATAGTCAGGTAATTAAATAATATAAGTTGACACCAAACAACTGACATGGACTATTTACTCATATCTAGAGTCTAATACGGTATACCAAGAAAGCCCTTAGGAATCATTTGGTACAGCGGACTGTTATGGACTGGACTATAAATAAATAAAATTCTAATATTCATTTTACTATTTAATTAAGGATTTTGACATAAAAATAAAAAATAAAAAAATAGTAATATTTTTTAAAGGCTAACATTATCTTATCTCTTTTTTTTCCCTATTTTTTCTTCCTTTCTTCCTCTTCTCTCCTTTGTCTTTTCTTCTTTCTTTCCTTCTTGGCTTGTTTCTCTTGTTTTTTCTTCCTTCCCAGGCTATCCCTTCTTTTTTCTTTCTTTCTTCCTATTCTTTCCTTTCTATTTCCTTTTTTCTTCCCCTTTTCATTCTCTCTTCATCCACTTCTGGGTATGTGGTGGCTGCAAACACCCACCCCCTTCTCTCTGGTTCCACTAATTAATGGTTGTGGTGGTTCGATTCGGTGGTGATGGTGGTTGAGCTCGCTATGTGATGGCTAGTTATGTGTGATGGTGATGGTTTGATTGACTGATTGGGTGGTGATGATGGTTTGATTGGGTTTGTGATGGCTGGTTATAGGTTTGATGATGGTGGTCAGGCTCGCATGCTTGATGGTGGTATTGGTATCACCATCGGTATTTTGCGAACCACGTTTATATTAGACAAGCGATTCTGATATTTTTTTTCCCCATTGAACTATACAATCCCATTTAAGTTAATCCCCTCCTTTACTGAATATGGGTTTTTAGTAGGGGTGACAATTTTCAATATGACCCGTTACACGACTCGAAACCCACATAAAAAAAAACACAACTTGAACCCGCACGATTAATAATTGAGTTATTTTTCCGTTGCTACTGCGGGATTTACACAATCGATTGAATCATATATATATCCCTTCAACACAACATAGGTCATTGGGTCAACCCGTTCTGACCCACTTATTAAATGGGCGGGTTTCGAGTCCACTTATCAACCTACTAAAATACCTGTTTAACTCGTTTATTAAACGGGTCGTGTACCCTTGTAATTCTTACCAACCTGCTAAAAATGAAGGAAATGGAGACTTCACCACACACAAGGGGTTTTGAACCCTTGCCACTTACATTCCTCTCTAACACCTTATCCACCATGTTACATACAATTAGGGATGGCAACGGGCCGGTTAGGGCCCGAGTATGACAATACCATTCCCTTCCCCACTCACCATCCCCGTCCCTGTCCCCGACCTAATCCCCGTCCCCATCCTCGTCGGGGAAGTGCCTTCCATACCCGCTCCAATCCCCGGTTTTTAATAAGATATTTCTTGTTAAAATAATTTTCTAAAGCACAATCACATCATTGTGAAATTTTAAAAACAACCACTTTTCTTGTTAAAATAATAACTCAACAAGCCAAAGAAGGTGGACACAAAACTTGAAATCTATACAAATCTTTACAAACTTTTTCAGTAAGCACAATAAATCCATCTAGTCTATAGGGTAACTTTGTTTATTATATTATATTAATAAATATATTGATTATAAATAAATATATTACTTATCGGGGCGGGTATGGGGATCCTCGAATTTGCAAAATCCCTTCAGGTCCCCGACCCGACATGTATTATTGCCATCCCTACATACAACTTTGTGATTATATAATACACTATGTGATATTTATAATGTTTGTACAAGAAGTAGAATTTCACATGTCTTTTTTCTTTTCTTTTCTTTCTTTTTTCTCCCCTCTTTTTTTCCTCCTATCTTCTCTCCTCTCTCTCTCTCTCTCTCTCTCTCTCTCTCTCTCTCTCTCTCTCTCTCTCTCTCTCTCTCTCTTTTCTAATTAAGTGGGTCGAAGTGGAAAATCAGAAAACATGGGTGTACAACTCGAGGTGGAAAGTGAGAAAACATGGAAAGCGAAAAACACGGAGTGGAAATCACGGAGGCGAAAAGCCAGAAATTACGGGTGTGGAGATCAAGGAATGCGGGAAAAATCATAAACGGGTGTCATAATGGACGTCTATAAAAGGAGACAAAGGGAGAAAAAAATCACACCTCAAAAAACAAAAAACCTAGCTCCGCCAATTTTCTTCCTTCCCATTTCTCTCGATCTAAACCTATCTCCTCAAACTCAGAAATAAAATGGCCTATTCATTCCCATTTTTTATTGATCTAAACCTAGCTCCACCAACACAGGCATGGGGCCAAGGGAATGCACCAGTGTGAATGCCCTACTTTGCTTCCTATCGAGGACCAGTTACCGTAAACGACTCCTTACTCCTTGATAACGATGTTGCTGTTGGAACTGTGAGGAGTTCGGTGACTCCCAGGAATGTGCACGTGCTGGGAACGAGGGATGATAACCGGGTGGTGAGTGATGTCATGGCACTGAGCATGCAAAATGCTGCATCTGTCGCAAGTGTGGGACATCACCTAATTGCGAAATCCCATGAGATGTAGGTGCTAAGAGCTTAGTTGGTGGCAGAGCGAAGTTTGGTTGAAGATTGTCAGCGTGTTATAAGGAGTTTGAAGAGGGAAAGGACAAAGACGGCGGAGGTGAATCTACGTCAGCTTGAAATATTGCAGGAAGAGAATCAAAAGCTATCAAAGATGGTAGATTTTTACTCTCAAGACATGCAAAAGCAACTGGAGGCCCTGGATCGACCGAGTCGCAATGATGAGCCCCAAGAAGCTGTGTGTGAAAACCCAAGAGAAGAGGTCCATATGGCCAAACTAAAGGCTCTTATTGCGGAATCAAGAAGCGCGCCGTGATGTTGTCTTTTTAAAATTTTTAAAAAATTAATGTAGTCCCTTGTTTTTTGTTTTTTTTTAATGTGAAATAAATATTTTTCTCATTTTTTTATTTTTTATTTTTTATTTTTTTATTTTAATTTTAACAACACAAATTAATGTGCTAATCATTCAACTATAAATACTCACAAGTGTACCAATTTATTGGAAACTAGGAATAAGTAAATAGGTTATTAACCAGGTAACCTGTTTAATAACCTGTTTAAGACGATCCGAACTCGACACGACACGTTTATTAAATGAGTCAGGTTCAGATTGAGTATTCTTGACACATTTATTATTCCGAAACAACATGAACCCGACACCTAATTTCTAGTACTATTGAACCCAGTCCCATGAGGCATAGTGTGCCAAAAATGGGTTTCACATCTCTTTCCAGCCCAAAATAGGGGTGTAAAATGAAAAATGAAAAATGAAAAATCCTTGAAATAAATTATAAAACCTTGAATGGGTTTAAGCACTCGCTACATTCTTCAGGCGCAAAAACATGATGGCTACGAGATTCATACTCTCAAGAGCAAGAACATCAACTAAAAATCTCAATCTCCATGGTTCCTCACCACTCTCTCAATTCATCGGAAACCTCTCCTCCGTCGTTTCCCGAGAATCCAATTTCCGCAACCTCAAGAATCCTCGTCCCGCATATTCCAGGAGCATGGTCTCTGCTTCAAACTACAATCTCGACCAGGACTCGGCCTTGAGTCTTGATACTCGTGTTCCAGCCACCGTCATCACCGGCTTTCTTGGTTCTGGAAAGGTTGGTTTTTAATTTGTACTTTTGTAACAATGGAGAAATAGAAATGGTGTGTTGTACTGTACCTGCTTAATTTGAAGTTCTGCTTGTTTCTTGTAGTGGGTATTTGTTGGTTTTTGCTAAAACAAAGAGATAGGCGTCATCTTAACTGTACGATTCTTTTTTTTGTTTTCCCATTTCTGTTTGAATTTGAATCGAATTGTTACTTATAATGCAGACTACACTGCTGAATCATATTCTGACATCTCAACATGGGAAGCGGATTGCGGTCATAGAAAATGAGGTATTTTTTCTTTTGTGCCAATAGAAAATGAAGTTGATTTTCACGATTGCCACTATTTTTGTGCTATATTTTTTCTTTGTATGGATTTTATGTGAACATTCACAGTGAAATACGAGAAATGTATGCATTAGTTGATTAGATTATCTAAATGTTAATAAAGGAGTATGGGATGACCAAAGAAGGATTAGACTCAAGTTCATGGTGTGCATTTCTGCGACTTCTACACTTTTGGCTTAAAACAAAAGCAAATGATTTTATTTTTGTGTCGTTTCAGTTTCTTTTTCTTTTGGGGTATAGCTCTATGATTTATTAGAGTTTGGAATATAAAACTTTCTTGCTTGAGCAATCTTATTAGTGAAATTGCGTGGTGGAGGGGTCAATATGACAAAGTAATTTTTAGCGTGAATATCCAAAATATTTTTTTCCTTTTTCTTCATTGTTTTCTTGAATTAACCCTAACTTGGTGTTTTTATATTAAGCTCCTACCTTATGTTGTTAATTTTCTTTTTAAGTAGTTCCATATTTTTTTATGGAATATTTACTATTTTTTATATTGTGCTTCACTCTTAAATTGTCCCTAGGTGCGAGTATCTTTTGTCCTCAAGTGTGTTGGTCATTATGTTGATATGTTTCATATTTATCCTGGTATATGCTTATAATATTAGGCATTCAGTACAAACTGTTTATTGTGAATACTGTGTGTATCTTTTATGTGAAGCAAAGTCTTTAACCATTTAATATTATCCATACAAACAAAAGACCATTTAACAAACTAAATCAATAAGCATCTATACAGTGAACAACAAAATTTAGTTGAATTTGACCCCGGCTACATCCACAACAAAATCAATGGATTTAAGTTAACCCAAGACGCAGTACCAAAAAAACTCCTAAAGCTTGACGATGTCTTGATTTGATTATGACTATCTTGACGTTATCTTGACTCTCCCTTTAGTCTTTGATTTGATTGGATCTCAAGTCCATGCACTGATGCCATCATTAAGTGCGCATTTGACCTTTCAATTGGATGTGTACATTCAACGCATATGCATGTCATAAGATTTTACCCACATATGCCTTTAGTCTTTGATCTGATTGGATCTCAAGTTTATGTTAGGATATTGAACACTTTTTTACCCACATCTTTATATGCTGAGAGTTTTTTTTTTTTTTGGTTTTTTTGGAGTCTATGTATTAAGTTGGAAGTGATAAAGAATTTAACATATATAATGATTTTTTTTTTCATACAGTATTTGTATCTGTTCTTGAGATTTATTTTTTTCTTTAATTGGAATGGTTTGTTCCTAAGATTTTTTTTAATAATAGGATTATGTAAATGCAGTTTGGTGAGGTGGATATTGATGGATCATTGGTTGCTAGTCATTCATCTGTGAGTGAAGACATTGTCATGGTCAATAATGGTTGCCTATGCTGTACTGTTCGGGGTGATCTAGTTAAAATGCTGTTGGAGTTGGTTAAGAAAAAACGAGACAAGTTTGATCATATTGTTATAGAAACCACGGGTATGTTGGATTTCTCAAATTTTACTCATAGGTGGTGGTGTAAGTATTACTCAAATTCTAAATGATTAAAGATTTGAGTCCTATGTATGAAATCCATTTGAACTAGATTTTGATCCAATTTAAAGAAGTTCTATTCCAAATTGTGTTTCGCATTAGAAGGAAAGTACAGAACAATAAAGAGAAAGAGGGGCCAATAGTGTTTTGAGTTTAGGGTGCCAGAACTCAAGATTGACATAAAATCTTTTCTGCAGGCCTTGCTAACCCAGCTCCCGTTATAGAAACATTTTGTATGGATGAAATTGTTTCAAGACGTGTGAAACTGGATGGAGTTGTTACTTTGGTTGATGCCAAGCATGCAATGCAACATTTGAACGAAGTGAAACCAAGATTTGTGGTGAATGAGGCAGTGGAACAGGTTGCATATGCTGATCGTATTATATTGAACAAGGTGGGTATTTATTTCTTACTCTAAAAGTGCTGTTCTTTTCCTTGTCTGTTGTTCTTTCTGTCTTTCCCTTCCTTTTTCTGCTGTCTAATTTCTGTACTCCAGCCATTTCTTCCCAATTAGAATGCTATTTTCTGCTCCAAACTTAAGAGATTCTATCAATTGTTTTGGCAGATAGATTTGGTGACCGAGACTGAATTGGAGGTATTGACTAACAGAATCAAGGTATCTACACAAGATTTATGCAGTTGGTTTGTTTAAACAAAGAGTATACGGGAGTATAGTAGAGAGAGAAGAAAGATTTATGTTAGGGTCTAGCATCTAACCTAAAATCATTTGGCAATGGGCAGACAGCAGACCCAGGATATTATACATTGTGGTGCATGGCTTGAAAATTGAATATATTATATAATCCTAGGCCCATTCAAATTTCCATTGGATGGAGTAGGATGAGGCATTGGAGTCGAAATGTGAGGTAAAACACCATGGGGGTAACTGATATCTAGTGATGTTTTGCACACTTTGACTGTCTTGTTCATGTGCGCCGAGGTGAAAGAAGGTTTCTAGGTGTTTATAGAGATCCCAGTAAGCTCATTATCTTTCTGCTTCTTGATCTGGGGACACTAACTTAGCTCCAATGCGTGCTTAGGCATGCCTTCAAGGCTTTCGCCTCACATAGCGGACTAAAAACACCTCGTCTCTACGCCTCGCCTTTTAAAACATTGAGTAGTATATAACTTTGTCCACACTCCAAGTGGTATAAAAGTTGGCCTGGACAGAATCAATGCTAAGCTCATGGAATCATGGATACCAATGGGTCCAATATCCTGTGCATACTAATCAGCCTATATTCATGTGAGTTACAGAGATCATATAAAGATTGACTAGAGCCTTAGATAAATGAGCAAGATTGTTAGCCTTTAGAAGCTACAAGGTGTTAGGATTTCGGCTCGTCAAATATGTCCTAGTTGGTTTAGGATTGTTTTAGGAAAATTAGAGGTATACCAATTCTTGTCCTAGAGGGATTAGGAAAGAATTTCAGTTTTCCTTATTCAATTCAGGTTTGGATTTCTAGAAGTCTATTAGGATTTGGATAAGTGTAATTTCCTAATCTACTTAGGAATAGGAATCCAATCAGCCTTGGGACATGTAAGCCAACTCTATATCTATAAATAGGGTGTGGCAAGGCTTATTTTAAAGAGAGGAAAAACAGCCAGAGACAGCCAAGAGTTTTGAGATTAGTTCTAGGGTTGCAAAAGTTCTGTAATCTCTATTATTAATCAAAGGAGCGGTGATTTCTCTACCTAGAGAAATCACAACTGGACGTAGGCAAAAGTTCTGCCGAACCAGTATAATTCTTGTGTGTTTCTAAGTGTTTTAATATTTGCTAGTTTAGTCTATTGCCGTCGGTTACATCAAAAGAACAAGATCTAGAAGGCGAGTTATTTAACATAATATGTATAGAGATATCATACAACCAAACTCAAACTTTTGGAATTACTCTAGTTACATTGGGTCATTCGAAAATTTGAATTTCGAATATAGTTCTTAAACTTATTTCATATCATGATAGATGCCATAAGCCTGCATATGCTACATTATTTTATGGGCACTAAGATATAGTTTTTCCTTTAAATAAGGTTTGAAACATTGAACTACAATGCAGAGTGGGGCCCATAATGTGTCTCTTAAATAATCCTATTTAAGGGATCCCTCAACTGAAGCTGACTATGTACATATGCACATGTGTCTGAAAAGATGAGGTTCTTCAGAACCCTCCACCTGACTGCCCTGTCAATACTCATGGAGTGGTTACTTTCTAAGTTCAAACTCATGATAATAGTTGGCTGGACTTCGGGTGCTATCCACCATCCAATCAACGGCATCTACTGTAAAACCCGTGAGCCCTAAGAGCTGTGTATTTATTTTGCAAGCATTAAACTAAACCAGGGCTGCCTTAAGCTTATTATATATTATATATGTAACGTCTTGTAACCATTAGGGAAAATAATTCTTGTGTGAGACCGTGGATATGTACTAAAGAACCCCATTGCTTGTTGTGGCCCTAGGCCCAAAAAACTCAGGTTCAGTCCTGTTCTCAATTCTAAACTATCCAGAAATGGGCCTGATGCAAGACGCGTAGGACCTAAATTTATTAGTTTCCTAGATTCTCTAGTTTTCCAAATTCTAGTAGGATTTCTACTTTTCCAAATTTCCAGATTTCTAGTTTTAAGTTTCCTATTTTATTGAGGTTAGGATTTCTGTTTAAGCAAGGGATTTTTATCCCATTATGTCTGGGTTTTAGTTTGCTATAAATAACCCCATGTAGTTCTTTAAAATTCAGATTTGGATATTGAGTAAACTTTCTCTTAAAACTATGTGATTTCTGTCCTTCCTTCTCAGTTCTCTGATTTCGGTCCTTTCTTTTGTCCCTTTGATCTATATTTTCGTCTCCTCGACCTCCGATATTCTTCTTGTTCTGCTGTTCTGCCCTTTCTTTCATCTTTTCGATCTATATTTTCGTCTCCTCGATCTCTTATATTCTTCTATGTTCTATTGTTTGAGTGCTTAATCTAATACCTACGGGCTGTACTACATCAGGGCCCCTTATATTGGGAGCAACTCAGGCAGTGCTGACATGCAATATATGATCTCTTTGTAACTGGCCCCCTTCATTTCATAAAGAGGAGCAGGATGTGTTTACTATGAAACTAGCACATTCACAGTAAAACACAAAATTGAAAAATTAATATTAAATCAGACTACTTCATCATTGGAAAAGGACCACACCTTTTGGGATCATAATGCTTTCCAAACAGTATGTTGTCACGTATTGTTCCAGATAGAATCCAGGGGACCTAACATTTCAAAATGCGAAGGACAGTCGATAAATTCTATTTCATAAGAGCGTAGCTATAGAAACCACACTAAACTAATCACAAACCTGTGGTACATATGCTATAGAACCACATGAATATACTGATCCATGGACAAGTCGCATTTCCCCCAAAATTGAATTTAACAAGGATGATTTACCTGAACCAACCTGAGAGAATTCAACAAGCACACTGAATGGTGAATGCAGCAGATGTCAAATTAATTCCCCCATCACGAAAAAGAACTATATCACATATTCTAGTAGTAAACCAAATTTGATATATCTAGTTACAAAACTTTTGCTTATAATAACATTCTTGAAAAACTTTACATGGAATTTTATTGGCTTCACCAAAGCCCCAATTTCATGCACTACAGAGTCCCTCATCGCCTAACAGTAATATTTAAGTCCATTACAGATTGCAATCTTCTTCTTCTTCTTCTTTTTTTTTTTTTTTTTTTTTTTTTTTTTTTTTTTTTTTTTTTTTTTTTTTTTTTTTTTTTTTTTTTTTTTTTTTTTTTTTTTTTTTTTTTTTTTTTTTTTTTTTTTTTTTTTTTTTTTTTTTTTTTTTTTTTTTTTTTTTTTTTTTTTTTTTTTGTGTAGAACTACAATGTTAAATTGTTTTGCTTTGATAACATCTAACAAATGATGGGAAGAAAATCTGAACAGCATTAGAAATAATCATGTCTTGCTCAAAATAGGGAACTTTTGTGAAACTATTTTCCATTCATAAACAATCTAACAAATAAGCTAAGAAATTCGGTTCTGCATCCAAAATAGCAGATAAAAGGTATCAGATATGAAATGATAATGAGCATATTTTAATCTTCACATAACTGACCTCTCCAATCACTGCAATGAAGGAACCCTTTGGAATGCCTAGAGTTACATGTTTCAGCACCAAATCCAAGTCTTTTTCATCGCTGCTTGACCAAGCACAACATGAATCATCGAATACAACAGCCTTATCTTCATGGAAAATTTCAGATTTGTCATTTGAGAAATATGGTGAAGATGAACCAGCTGTTGTTTCCAGTTTTGATTTGGACTGAGAGCAAGATAGAAACCTGCTCAACCGCTTGATAGATATGATGGCCTGGGATAGAGTAAGGAGAGTACATGCATTTCAATCAATAATTAGAGAAGTATGAAAAGACTGTACTTCAAACCCACGGAACAAGGAAAACTTACATCAATTAATCCATTAATGACCCATGGAAATGAATTTAGAGGAGATATCAAAGTATTAAACAGAGCAAGACAAGTGAAGACCTGCATTTGGGGTTTTAGAGGGGTAAGTTTTTCTTGGAAATTGCTTCATTGTCTGAACAATATGAATTAAAATCATTATGCTCAGGGAACAGTGGGTACCGTTGCAGCATCAAGTTGATGCCCCATCAATGTGAAAAGTCCAAATGTGAACAGGGAAAAAAGAGTTGGTGTTGTAGCCCAAAAAAATACACACCAGGCATCCAAGTATTTCCGCGTCTAATCAATGTAGATAAATCAAACATTATTCTATGCAGCTAACTGGAGCACTGGAAGAAAAGTAAAGATACCTAATCAATTGATTGCTCTTGGGTATGCCAAGAATAAAAGTAGAGTCGTACAGTTAAGTGCATAACTTCTAATGATCTTGTCTCCATCAACCAGCTAGAAAACAGAAGCTCCCACCCATGCATCTTCAAAGTGCGGATATATGTCAACAGTTCTCCTGTCCTCCTTATCCTGCCGAGGAGCACAGTTACTGAATATAAATATTGAGAAAACATAACACTACTCTGCAGTTTTTTTTCGGTATTAATATAGCACTTACTACTACTGTTAAAATACCGATTTCCAAAATAAATCATTAGCGTGGAGAAATACACCAGTAAATAGACATGAAATAAATAATAATAATAAAAATTGCTGATCCGGACAAAAATAAGAGTCACATGGCTAGAGTAATGATTTTAAACAGAGAAATCTGTCATCTCATGACAGAAAATAATTTTTAGATTTAAATAAACATATAACCGAAACTATAGTCATTCTTGTTATCTCCTAAATTCCCACAGTAGAATACCCTATACTTGAATTTTCGAGCAGTACATGGCCTGTTGGCTCTGTTTTAAGTTATTAATTGGATTATTTCCAATATTTGTTGGGTCCGGGTGTGACCTGTTGGCACTCAATGGAGCTATTTCAAACAGATGTGGAAGAGTTTCAAAATTCAAGAATTCCAAGATGAAAAGGTTGGTGAATATTTTGTTCAATTTTTTGATACTGATTTTATTTTGTGTCTCAGGACACAAGCAATTTCAATCCTCGACATGACTGGGAGTGTTAGTATGTATGCGCCTTCTGTTAGGCTTGATATACAACAAAATACAATCACTATGTTCGGAGCAAATTTAAATACTGCACAATATAATGAGATAAAAAGTACATATACCTCTCATCTTTCTGCTTCATCATTTTCACTGTAGCACTTGCAATCAATGTAGATATCCATTTATTCACTATAAGGAGAAAAAAGAGTTTCATTCGGATATAAATTGAAAGCATATTTTATCAATTTACTTTATGATATACTTTATCAATATATAAGTGGGCGCATAAATGAACCTAGAAAAATTCCATCTCTAATTTAACAATGACGGCACCAAAACAAATATGGGAGCTCTTATTGGCATTCCAAAAACAGACATCCTAAACCCACTATATGATGGAGATTACAAACCTATACCCAAATATACCCGAATTCAAATACAATTCCAAGTCATGCCCAAAGTCATCCATGCAACCAACTCTCACCTCAAGGGGAATCAGCATACTCTTTACACACTTCTAAGTAAAAAAGTTCTGTAATCTCTATTATTAATCAAAGGAGCGGTGATTTCTCTACCTAGAGAAATCACAACTGGACGTAGGTAAAAGTTCTGCCGAACCAGTATAATTCTTGTGTGTTTCTAAGTGTTTTAATATTTGCTAGTTTAGTCTATTGCCGTCGGTTACATCAAAGAACAAGATCTAGAAGGCGAGTTATTTAACACAAGGGCTCTTATCTTATCACCTTGTGAAAAAACTTATCCTAGGGTATAGGAACTTGCAAGCTGCAAATAGTCAACATTTAATCAATAACATGTAAGATGCATGTTATTCATAATTTGAAATGTGGGACTATTCTAATAGTGGAATTGCATATGCTAAACTGGGTTAATCACTTGGCTTGTAGAAATTATTGCTTAACTTCAAACTAGATTGGCAATGCTTCATTTCTTTCTGTTTTATGCTTTTGTTGCATGTATTTGGATTTTTTAATTACTCCTTAAAAAGAGAGAAATATTATTTATTTATTTATTTATTTTGCAATACTTGTGCATGGATGCTAGCATATCAATGGGATGGCGCAAATCAAGCTAGCTAAATTTGGATCTGTGGACATGGACTTTGTTTTGGGTGTAGGAGGATATGATCTCGAAAGGTCATTGTCTAATCTTTGTGTGTGTGTGTGTGTGTTTTTTTTTTCGCCATCTCAAATTTGTTCATACATTTTAAAATAATATTACTCTTGTTGCTTTGTTGCTATCTTTTATTCTTTCAAGTTCTAGAAAAAAGAGATTTGTTACTCTTATTCATATGTAGTGCATACTGTTGATTCCCTACAATGTATTTCAATGATTGAAAATCTATTCTTTAGTTCCTCCTTCAAGGATCATCCCTACAGAAAATCAGACATACCAGAAGTTGTGTGGTCTTCTAAACTGTACAGACAAACATAGTGTGTTTGATAAAACTTCAGTGATGTGGAAGGTAGTTAATCGGATAGTTGAGTTACGATTGCTGATTTTTTATGGGGATGTTTTTTTTTTTTTTTTTGGAAGGAGCACCTAAAAAATTGATTGTTCCAGTTATTGAACTGCAAATTGTGAAGGACATCCACACTTTTCACACTTTTACCTTCCTCTGATTCCTCTCTTAGAAAAGGGTGTCTATATATATGTATAGATATATTGTTTACGTTAAATGAGTACCAATTTTTACTCGATGTATATAGTGTATACTAATCTTTGTAGCACGTTAAATGCCCTGATCTGCAGGATCGATAGTCAAGTTCAAGTAGATAGTTCCTGTTCTCCATCCCATCACCATGAAGCTGGACATGGTGCTGGTCTCTTTGTCTCTCTCTCTCTCTCTCTCTCTCTCTCTCTCTCTTTTGTTCTTTCTTGCATCTGAGTGTTTTGTGTCTTGATTTACTTTTCCCCTTGTTTGGATTAATAATAGAAGTTAGGATTTTAAAAAACTTTTTATAAATTTGCTAAGTTGAACTCATAATCTGTTCTCATTTATGCAGGTGAAGCTTCCTATTTCTATAGGATCTAGATAAATTTATTTGATTTTATACGAAACAGTAATTTTATAAAATTTATCATTAAATGTTAGGGGTTGTTTGTTTATCATTAGTGTTTGTCTTCGTTGTAACTCATCTTGCAAATTGTAGTTTCATCTCTGTTGCTTGTCCACATATTGTAATTTCCTTTTCTTTAATAAACTTTTTATATGATTAGAAGTGTAGCGAAATCAAACTACATGTGGTTGAACTCGAGGGGGATCACTTAAACTTGTTAGTTTCTGTTTGAATAACTTTCTCCTTGAGTATTCCTTTTTTATCCTAATTCTATTGTTTTTCTTGTTAGTTAATTGAATCATCTACTTAGGGTTTTCTCTAAAGTGATTCCAAGCTTATTTTCTCCTGTTCGATTTATTTCTAACATGGCTGGGATTTTACAGAACACCACAATCATCATCACGACCATGTACATGATTCTACCGTCGCAAGTGTCAGCATAGTTTATGAGGGAACCCTTGATCTTGATGAGGTAGCAAAATTTTACTTTATCATTTTGTTTACATATATTTATATTGGCAGTTTGGTGTCTGTTTCTGCTTCTGTCTAATTTACTTTGGAAACATAAGCTCATCTTGGAAGTTAATTGGAATTTTTACTCGATCAAATATTTAAGCCATTAGTTACTCAATCAAAGCATAGTTGCACAATACTTCATAACCAAAATGAGTACCAATTTAAATGAATTGAGTCTAGGAATACATTTGTTTTTCATATACATAGAATGATCATAATTCCTGGGATAGAAGGTATTGAACTTTCTCAATTGCCATACCCACTGAAGATGCTTTGTTTAAGAAAAGAAATTTCATGAAAACGATAGGAAAAGGCAACAATTTTGTTTAACTGTTTCCTTACGGAATTAGAATTTATTCCACCTTTGTTTGATCAAATGGATGGACCAGGTGGACGATTGGCTTGAAAGGTTGATCGAAGAAAAAGGAGAAGACTTGTACAGGATGAAGGGTGTCTTATCTATAAATGGTTCTGATCAACGTTATGTTTTCCAGGTTTTCATTTTTTTTCGTTTGTTTCTATTTTATGATTTGATGAAAAACATTTTATAATTTTTGCCAAATCTAAATTTAGCTTGTATTTTGGCCTTCCGCCATTATGTTTAATCTCTTCAGGGGGTGCACTCCACATTGGATGGGTGCCCAGGCAGTACATGGGGACCTGATGAGAAGAGGATTAACAAGCTTGTGTTCATAGGAAGGAATTTGGATGAAACTACTCTTAGAAAAGGTTTTAGAGGTTGTCTAGTATGATGTTCTTATAGTGGCTAAATGCGGTGGGGATCATAATGAGTTCAATGCTTCTTAGTATCACCGGTGAGTTCATTCGGAGTTTTGGCATCAAATGATTTACAATCTTGTTCTTACTCATGACCCAAACATGTTTATGCAGCATTGAAACTTTTGACAAGGTTTTATAGTAGTGTTTATGATGCCTCTGAAGTTTCATTTTTTATTATTATTTTTTCTTTTTAATGGATTTTTTTATGTCTACTTTGATGTGGAGTGTGTTTTCATAATAGTGGCGTGTGGGCGTGGCGGTTGATGAATCATAGTGGATTCATATTGCAGATGTTAAAATATCATTTCTATTACACAGGTCCCTTAGCAGATCGTCCATTGACATTGTAAACTTGTAGTTTGTATATGAAATTGATATGTATTTAAACTTTAATAACAAGTGAACATTTTGTAAATGACAATGGCTGCAATGGGTGTTATATTCAAGTTTAGTCACACACAAACACAATTCCGCCATGCAACTGAGTCTTTATTAAATTATTTTGTCAAACTTTCATTCAAAACTTTCATACTATTTTCACAATTTCTATTCAAGTAATTTCTTATCGAAATTTTTGCATTTTTGGATCGTTGATATTTCCGTTGCAAAGATGACATGACTATATCTAGTGCAATTTATTGATAACCGAAATAACCGATTAAACTCTTGAAGCATCATTCTCCATTATTCCCCTTGTTGGAATAAGTCATTAAATATGAAGACTCCAAAGCTGACCCTCGTAGTTTATTCTGTGTTTCTTTGTTTGTTGGCCTCCTTGGAGTTTTAAAACTTGCACCGGCAGTGGCCTATCAAAAACGATAGAACCTTTCGATCCGTTTAAAAATAAATAAATAAATAAATAAAAATAACTCAGATGAACTATGTCAACCAAATCTAACAAGTAAACAATATTCTGCACTCCCGTCGCATGCGGAGCTTTCGGAACGTGTCTTTCTCTGCACATGTGAACCTTTACGTCTATCATCATTGACACTGTGAGACAAGACGAGATGAGCCAATGGCTCGCCGTCGAATATTCCACGCTGGCCTCCACGTGTTCCTCTAATTCCTTAATACTAACCCATTCACCCGAGCGAGACGCCTTTTTTAATCAGACAAACTATGCGCAAGTTAAAATTTTCTGGTTGGCCTAGCTATTACGTTTCAGGGAAGCAAATACATCATAGTAAAACAATGTGTTTTACTCGTGATGCCTTCTCTTCAAAACGATAGATCATGGGCCAAAATTCGAGTTCGGGGTTGTAGTTTTTTAGGTTTAACTTTGCTCGCGCGTCTCTCCAACTCATCTTTGATTGTTTTCGTAATCTGTTCTACATTATGATGATGTGGTTGTAAATCGGTTTTTATTTACTTGTTTTGTGTTACAGTTTTTTGAAGTTGTAATAAGTGCATCCACTTTTTTTTTTTTAGTTTGTTGTGTGTTTATAGTCTTTATTAATAAAGAGTTAGAGCATCTCCAAGGAAAATGTCAAATACCAAACATCAAATTTAAATTTAATGGCTGATGTGACAATTTGACATCTTACACAGCTTTACACTTCACTCGATATGTCAAATTAAATTATTATTTTATTACATTTTAGTGTTGATTTATTTTGAATTAAAAAGAAAAGAAAAGAAAAAGTAATAAAATATTCATTTGACATCTTGCTTTTGGGATGTCAAAAATAACATCTCAACCTCTAGCCTTCATTCCACATCAGTTTTGACACATTAGTTGGAGTGATGTGATATATTATTTCTAGCTGTTAAATGTCTATATGGCACTTTTGACACATCGGTTGGAGATGCTTTTATAAAGTTGTAGTTGTTTTGGTGCGTTGAGGCATATGATTGGTTTTCCTCAACATTTCTTAGGCTATGCATGGCTATTAGTGTAGGTATACCTTTCACCCAAAAAAAAAGTATATGCGCTTTCTGTTGTTGGTGGACTAGTGGTGGTTATTTGTTTTTGCATTGGTTATGGTTAGCGATATCCTTTAAGCCTGAATTATGAATGCTTTTATCTAAAAATATTTCTGATTTTGTTTATTAATATATAATATATACAGCCCACCAGCCAGCCCCCTCTTGATGCATTGCTGCTTCCTCTTCAGATTCGTCGCCGAGCTTTTCTCTACAAAAACAAATTATACAATTCTTCTATTGCATAGCTGAAATTATATGCGCATTATTCAAATAAATAAATAAATATATAAATAAATAAATGCCACTTAAAAACAACGCGTTCTCTGTGTTCCGTTCTGTTCTGTTCTCTAAAGTAACTTATTCCCTCCTCTTTTTTCTCTCTGTGTCCCTGCTTCTGATTCTGTCTTTCTTACAACCCAATACACTTCCATCACTCTCACCTTTCTTTTTTTTGGCTTCTGGGGGGCTTTTGGGTTTTGAGAATTATTTGGTAGAGAGAGAGAAGCAAGATTGCTGCTTGAATTTGGGAAGTGGGATTTGGGGAGGCTTGCATTTGTTTGTTAATGGAAAGGAACTATGGAGGTGCCTGTGATGGGGAAGGGAATTGTGGATACGAGAATGGGGTGATGATGACAAGAGACCCCAAACCAAGACTAAGGTGGACGCCTGATCTTCATGACAGATTTGTAGATGCTGTCACTAAACTTGGTGGCCCTGACAGTATGTCTTCTTAAATTCTTGTAATTTTGTTTGTTTTTCTATCAACTACTTGTATATATATTTCTTTTAATTCTTGATGCGGTAATATTTTGTGGGATTTTAATTTAAACCTGAAATATGAATAAATATTGGGTGATCAATTTGTCGTTTTGGCAGAATTTTCAATGGTATTAGTGCATGTAATTTGCAAAGCTTAATTATCTGATCCAGCTAATTTAATTTTGAAGAGGGTTTCTGTTTTCAGAAGCAACTCCCAAGTCCGTCTTGAGGCTAATGGGCTTGAAGGGATTAACATTGTACCACTTGAAAAGCCATTTGCAGGTATCTTTTGCCTCTTTCTTTTATTTTATTTTTTGATGTACAAATGCATTCATTACTAAGATAGTCAATCTGCAGAAGTATAGGCTTGGACAGCATGCTCGGAAACAAAACTCTGGAGAAGAACACAACAGAGAGAATAATCGTGAGTTTATTATAAACCTAGAAATATTTGTGTGTAATTTTGGTAATATGTTCTTTCAATATCTTTTGCAGTTTGACTGATGCTGTTTTCCTTTTTAAAAAATTATAGGGGATTCATATGTACATTTCAGTAATCATCATTCAACAGGTTCGAGCGCCAAATCGTCGAGAGGTGGTAATGCGGAACAAGGGTATGTGAAACCATCACTTATCATCAACTGCAATTTGATTACTTAGCTAATACGTAGTTCACAGTTTGGTTCATGTGTTAGCATTAGCTAGCCTTCCTTCTGAGGTTTCAGTCACTAGCTAAGATAAGAAAAACTGGTGGTGCTTTGGATATTGTTATGCTCATTTTCCTTTTGAACCCGCTTGGATACTAATGAACGAAAATGCTGAAAACAGAACACTTCCATTTTCTGAGGCACTCAAGTGTCAGATTGAAGTACAAAACAGATTGCAAGAGCAGCTTGAGGTATGTTGTTTTGCTATCAGAAATCTCAATGGCCAAATAATATGCCAGCATTTTCTTATGATAAAATCTTTTACAACTTTTTCAATAGGTTCAGAAGAAGTTGCAGATGAGAATAGAAGCCCAAGGGAAGTACTTGCAAACCATATTGGAGAAGGCCCAAAAGGGCCTCTCCCTAGACATGAAGGGCCCCACTACTATAGAAGCTACAAGAGCCCAATTAACTGACTTCAATTTGGCTCTATCAAATTTTATGGAGAATATAAATGAGGAGGATGGAAGAGGAAAGAGCAGTCGTTCAACTTTTGAGATTTATGAAGAGGGAAATACAGAAGAAAATAAAGATGCAAAGCTTAAGGTTGAGAGGGGATCTATAAATTTTGACTTGAATACTAAAGGGAGCTATGATTATGTTGGTTCAAATGCAGGTGATTTCGAACCGAGACGCTTTCGTTTACAAGATACTACACTTTGATGACAAACACGCAACACTGAGCTTATATTCACATTCTATTCAAAAGAAGAGGCTGCTAAGTGCAATATTTGTTGCCAAAAAGAAAAAGAAAAAAGAGATGTCTTTTGTTGAGTTCTCATTGTTTATGAGTTCCTTCAACTTTCTTTTTTCTGTGGTTAAAAGAATGCATGTGTTATTATTGATCACAATATCATCCGATTACAACTTAGATTACTATTATTCAGAATCTCCCCAGACACTTAATTTACATCACTCGTACAGTTAGAGAAATATAGTGTGTTCTAATGAATTTTATTTGGTCTTTGGGGTTAGGGTAGTTGTTGTGGTTTTGTGTTGTAATTCAATTTCTCTTAGTAAAAAGATCATTGTTCTTCAACTATAAAAGCTGTAGTTTATAAGGGTAGCAGAAGAACTCAAAATCAATTGAATATACTAGCATTGGCCATCAAAACAGATGCAATATCGATTGGAACCATGCAATTGCAAAAGGAGAACACAACCAGCAAATCAAGGTTCTTGTTTTTGGTTTTGGTTTTTGTTTTTTTTGCTAAAAGCCTTAAGGGTCCATTTGGATGAAGGGATTTGAAAGAAAGGATTTGGATTTGATATCAAGACTAAATTTTCAATAAAAACAACATTGATTGACTAAATTTGAAATAACTAGATGTAGCACATTTGAAATAAATACGTAGTTGGGCCATAACTATGTTTATTAAAAGCAAGGAGTTGGCCCGCGAGAGCATTAAAAAACCCAATTAAGAAAGCCAAAGCATGGCCACACAAGCCTGGATCCAAGAAAGAGTGATCTTCTTCCATTTTCCCACATGGGTTAGGGCCAATTTGGTATTGCTGTACTGTGAAAATAATCGCTATCAAATTTATTGTGAGAGAAATCAGTTGTGGGAGAAAACAATTGGGAATTTTGTAAACTTTTTGAAAACTGACGGGGTTTTGGAAAGATACCATAATCCTCATTAGGTGTTAATGTAAATAAATCATTTTTTTTTCTTGTTTGCTTCTATTTTTTTAGTACAAGCGATAGTCTAAACCACATGGGAGTGGGATTTCTCACACACACAAAATTATGATACCATGGGTATTCGAACCTAAAACCTTTTGTCTACAAGTAAATGTCATTTTCCACTGAGCTAGACTTCGTTGACTATTGTTGCTTCTTTGATTTCTCTCTATAAGCAATACAGACTACTTGTATGTTTAGGGATCCTGTTGTAATTTTATGAGGTATATACCCATTATTAGCATATAGATAAATTCTACACCATTTAATTTCTATAAACAAACCCATAAAAAACCCAAAAGGACAGATGGTCCTTTTGAATTTATTTTTGATTATTAAATTACTGTGATGCCCGTTTGAGTGTTTTGGGTTTTTTTTATGAGGTTTTGGGGT